ACGCGCGCTCTGATTGGTCGGGGTTTTCGCTTAATATCTCCTTAACGAAGCCCCATCCGACATTTTTGCAAAGGAAATTGTTGTTCAGAATCGTCTCAGCTACCTCCCATTTCCGGCTCCTCCCCGAGTTTTGGGACACCCTGTATAGTGCGTTCAGAACAAGTTGGCGAGACAAACTCATTTTCTTTCTCACTCTGTCGACAGCGAACGACAGCGAACATATCGAGACAGAGTGAAACAGAACGACGACTTTACAGCATCGGCGTAGCCTTCTAATCAAAGGAGGTTAATCGTTAAGATGTAACGATTCCAATTATTCGAAAATTTCCATATCGCGTGGCTCGGTTCGAGCATAATAACATTACGTTCCAACGAATTATGCATGCGGAATTATTCGCAAACAACCCCGGAAACATTAATCAGTATTCGATATTCCAGACGTTTCGTGGACAATTATCCGACGGTTGATGTTAACGGCAAACGTTTTGGATCGATACGCTCGCCCCGGTAATAAACCATACAAACGACGAGTTAATGAGTTTTATTGAAACACCGTGCGCAAAAAGGGAAAATACGTTTACGGATAATAGAAACAGTAACGTCGAACAGAAATGCTCTGCGGCGGTACCGGTACCTGGGAAATCTACGTAAACATTAATTGACTGCTTGTCAAACCTGCGAATTACACTTGGCTGCGAAAAGCTGGATAGAATAGGGACATACCGGAAACTGGTCCTTTAATTGTTTAACGCGATACCACTAACCCTACCGACGTTCATATGTGACTGTTTCTACTGCGATGGAACAAATGACTAAAGATTGCGTGCAAAATCACTGATATTTATCACAGTGATCGCAAAATCACGATCACGATGGTGATTTAATTTCATTCGCGAGGGTGATCGTGGTTCTTTTATCTTGCTAGAATCGTGTGATCACAATTCTTGATCATAGTTAAATTACTTTTTATAAAATGTTTCGATATACATAGTTTGTAATTGCTCGTAAAATTTAAACTATCGAGGTACAAACGGGTACAAACGATTCTAAAGAACAGGGAAAAGACAGATTTCAAAAATCTCAATGTCGGGTGCTGACCAATTTTTGAATTTTTTTTTAATTATTAATTGATGAAGGTACAAAGGAAACTATCGGTAGTACCAACCAAGTACAAACGAAGTACTATCATCCTCTATAAAAAAAAAAATTAATTTTTGAAAAGTCAGGTGCCAGGTTCACATAGCTCTTGGAACGATTATACAATATCACCACTGCGAATCGATTTTATACAAAATTTTTCGTAAAGTCCTTTGCGAAGTGGCGTACACGTCGTACTCGAGCCTGTCCGAAGCACTCGAGTCTCAATGGCACAGGTTCGACATTGAAACATTTTTCGTTTCTACCCTGTGCGTTCCACGTTTCACCGTTAAAATATTCTCTCTGCTTAATAATGCTTGAATCGCGACAGTGGCGAGCGACGTTAAATGCCAGGCGAATCAGGCACGGTGCCGTGCAATTTTTTTCGGTGCGTGTGTATACACACATCGATTACAATAATGGATTTACGATCGGGGTAATCCGAATGTATGGCTTTTTATCGATTAAGCAGCATCGACGATGAATGAGAACGACTTATGGGAAGCTCTCGTTTCTCTCTTCGGCGACCGCGACGCAACAGATGCGAACCTGTAATTTTCTCACGATATCTTCCATTCAACCCTTCTACATCGAGTTAACTCCTGCAACTTATTTCGCTGTTCGATAAAATCGTACTTTAAGGAGGAACAACACCGTGACCGGCCCAAAAGAAGCCCTTTTTTACGATTTTTGTTTTATTCCTTACTAAACTAATTAAAGATTGGGAGGACATAACATTAACCCTTTGCGGACGACTGTCTGTGTACAGCATCCCAAGCATTTTCACCATTCAGAAAAAGGATCTACGTTTCACTTGCGGCTCGGACGTCTAGCTTTAGCCCACTAGAGACCTACCCGCATATTCTGAACTCTCGATGGATACAAGAATAATATACAAATATATACAGAAGAAGAACAATCGAAAGCCAATATCGTATCTGAAGTTCGTGCGACGCCTCGTTGACCAACTCGTTGACGATTTTCGTCCTTCGATTTCTGTCCTCTTCGTTCTCCACTTTTTCATGTACTTGACGTAATTTGTTTACTTTCTCGAAGTCTTTTTATGCGTTCTTAGTACTTAATTTACATAAATCTCACGTAACCTAATTTCACGAAATATAGTATTCGGAATCGCCACGGCGAAAATATCATCGAGCCGAAAGAGTTGATAATTCCATGCTCGAATCATTAACGAGCTATTTGAACGTAGCTACAGAGAAGGGGTGGAGCAGTCATCTTTGATGGCTGTGTTTCGAAATGGGGTTGCGCTGGCAAGCAAGCGAGTAAGCAAGCAGGTCTATGTACGCACGGTAAATCAAGTTCTATTCACGAATTCCGATTGAAACATCAATCAGACGTGATTTGCGCTAAAGGCACGGTTCGACTGGCCGACGGAGATAATAGAAAACAACGGTGCGCGAGAGGTAGAAATTCATGTGGTTGGAGAAGGATGGCGTGTACGCAGACTGCCAGATGTAAATTGCCGTGATTGACTGGATTCACGGAACACGTTCGACTCCCATACGTTCTCCATGGGAGTTCACGATGGTAACTAGCCACCGTGGACGCGGTTATTTACAAAACCGCGCGTTGAACGGCTTCGAGAGCTGTGCACCCTCTTTTTTCGACCAGAAAACCCGTGGTCCACTCGATGCGCAAATTTTATTCAACGGCGCGTACTTCGAAGGAACTCGACACAGAGGGATTTGTTTTTATCGTTTCGTCGGTGTTTGCTTTTTCCAACGTGATTTATCCATTACATTGTTTTAGTGGACATTCTTTTCGTTGAAATTCTCGAGGGAGGGAATCTGCGACGAGTAACGTAAAAGTATGCGATGATTAATTGTGGCAAGATAATATTGCCAATTTGATAGTTGTAATACGAGTTTGTCCCATAAGTTTCTTTCTGTTTTTCTTTATACGAAATGAGTACACGACATTTGTTCGCTCGATTGTGTGCAATTGTAAATAACGAATACGAATTATTTAGAGAGTTCAATACTTATACAATTTGTAAAATTAATTCCACTGTTTGATATAATTTTGCTTTACTTAACTTTAGATTTTCATTTTTCAACGCCATTCGGTAGCCCCACTTTCTTCTTCTTAAAAAAAAAAAAAAAAAATGTTATGTT